ATTTTCAAAATTTCAAAGGAAACGCATTTTCCATTTTTATGTTTTCAGAAACTGTTTTCCAGAATTACAAAAAGAACGCGTTTTCAGAAATCTCAAAATAAACACTCAAAATACAAAACACAAAACGTTTTCAAAACACAAAACACAAAACTGAAACACAAAGAGAACAGCACCTACATTTTCTCAATACTACACGTTCCCGAGCAAAAGTGTACATTTTCTCACTTCTTTTCTTATACTGGAAACAACCAAAATATTAATATGCCTGGATCGCTGTTAGCAATATTGAAAATACAAGAATTATGTATTGTTTGAATACCATTTTTAATGAAATCAACTATCACAATAAATTGTTGAAATTATATGACAAATAATGAAATATTAGATCAAACAAAAGAATAACAAAGACAAGAAATATGACACAAGAATTAAAAGATTATATTAACTCCAAAATAATGGAGAATAATGAAAATTATAATGGATCCTATAATTCTAGTACTCTATTTTCTCACACTTATAAAATTGTATAGAAGAGCTTAATATTTATGGAGAATATGTAGGAGAAGTCCAAACCCTCATAGTAGAATTGTTGATAAAGTATGATGTCAAAAAATTGAGTTCAAAACGAAAAAGGAGAGAAAACGTTGAAAACCCGAAACAGGTCAGGTGGGTACCGCGGCGCCACATTCGGGGCGCCGCAGCTCTTACGCCCTTCGCTGCGGCGTTGGGTGTTCTGCCCAGAAAATAAAAAATAACTCATATTTTCTATCCCTTCAATACAACTTGGGCAACCTTACAAACCTTTGAAACTCCACTTCCACCAAATAACTCATAACCCTTTGAATTACGGATAGACAACGAGATGAGATTTTTTTTCAAATTTCGGAACATGTCGAACCTGGTCAAGTATTCTAATTGTCCCATCTAATAGCTTCAATTTGACCGTAAAAATTCGAGGAACCCAACAGTATGTGTTGTTTCCCATAATCACGACACATTTGGAAACGGTTTCATATGTAGTAAACAAGTTCTTGTTAGGACATACATGAAACTTTAGGACATACATGAAACACGCACT